AAAAATGTTTTACTTGGTGCACAACAACCTCCAGCCAATAGTTTCTGGGTTTTTTTTGGCTGTGCTCATTATCCATGGCAGCTGTGTTAGTTCTCTTTCAATCAGCCAGGTGGTGGCTACAGAACAATTCTTATTGGAATGGAGAACTGCTGACTGCCAGGTTGCGAAGGCAAAGTTATGGAGTGCAGTGGCACTATGGTTCTCTCTTCAACGACAGCAACAGCAGAGCGAGTACTGCCCACAGCAATCAATACCTGCCATACCTGCTATCAAATATTGACGCTATTGACAAATACAAAAATCATAAGAAAATTCTTTAAGACTCGATAACAATTTCCCTGACTGAAATAATACACACAGGTTCAATCACTGTGTGGAACGTGAATGATTCTGCAGTAAAAGTACATCAAGTAGAAAGCCCGCATCCTGAGTAAAGTTGATATCAGAAAGACTGAAATATCAACAAAAAGCTCAAAATATAAAAGCACTCCAGTAGAGCCTTTCCACTTCCCTGGAAATCTGGATCATCAATTTTCTAAAATGCTCAGAAGAATTAATAACATTATCCAGCTGCTGTTGTCATTTCAGAAGTAAGAAGCATCATTCCAAGGATCCAGACAGTAAGGCAAGGGCTGCTGTCAGAGCTGCTTTTTTCAGCACGGATGAAAGTTCCCTCTGTTTCTTGCCTGTGGGATTCTCATTACACTAGGATATGCTGCTTTTCCTCTGATGAGCAGCTTCTCTTTGCAGTAGATCCTCACTGTCACTTTCACTTTCACCGTTTCTCTGAAATAAAAAGGCCATGTTATTCCAGTCAATAAATGAGATACCATGCTGCTAAGTAGTCTGATATAATCAGTATCATTTATAGAGAAAAGCAGATGTACTAAAACCAGCAGAGTTTCACTGCAGGTTATCCTCACTGAAGGGTCCCCCATCACTCAGCTGGTGATGAGGGCTGTGCAGACTTTTCTCCACACCTGCTCATTTCTCAGTTGGACAGGACAGTCACTGCTGTCATATCCAAATAACGTGCAGCCCCTATGCTGCCTTTATGTAAAATAAACATGGCTAGCACCTATAAGGTTTGCAGTCACTGTTTCTCCTTTCTCAGCATAACACAACTTACAGTAGCCTTAACAGCATACAAAGGATGCCTGGTTTCCCACCCCAAACCACTGACGTCTTGCAAATTTCAATCCACAGTAAAATTGCATTTTCTTCCCCTTTGAAGAATGTACCTACCAAACATTCATCCTGAATTAGGGCCTTTTTCACCAGCGAACGAGATAAGTGGTTGCACAAGGAGACAATGCTGTAAGAAAGCTGTAAGTAAATAGAAGGAAGAATGAGAATATGAAAACACCAATACAGACACATCAAAATACATTTTATTTGTCTAAGGCATCTTACAATTTTACATGTATAACCTTTGCCTTGCCTGCAGATACCCATCAGCCCAACACAAGCAGGATGAGAAGCTGCTTGCCATACCTTCCACCGCCTTCTGGCATACTGCCTTTTGAAGTTTTGCATGTTAACAACAGATTCTCGCCGTACCAAAGCTTGCTGCTTGTCCAGTGGCTGGAAGATAAGAGATGGCAATTTTATTGTGTGGCTCCCTTTGATGCATGAAATGCTAAGATTCTCCTCACTCCTTAAAGCTGGCTGAAAATAATGTTGGGAAAGCTGTGGATTCGTACAGGTGTAAGCAGAAGAAAAAACTAAATCACTGATCCCACCCTGTCCAGTCAAGGGATCTATAGCCTTGATTTCAAACAAAACCCTAAAACTTCACAGTCAGCAGTCTGCAGCTGCCCTGAGTGCTGTGCTCACTTCTAGCCCCTCAGCCTGGCACAAAGGGTGCAGTGCAGGGCACAGGCTTTGCTTCAGCCTTCACTTCTGCCTGCTGCTTCATTACGATCCCCAGAAAAACAAGTAAAAAGCCTGGAACAGCCTTAGAAGCCCAAGGACAGAATGCATGACAGCGAAGCAGAAGAGGGAGATAACTACAATGACTAGAGGATGCTAAGGCAATGCTTTCGCTTTGCAAAGCCACTGAAGCGCATCTCACTGCAACACCTTGATTTCTTCTGACTGGAGCTCACTTCTGCTAGCCTTTATTTGCATCATTCAGAAAGGCACTGGGAGAGCAACAAAAAGGCTCTACAGGTGCCTGGTGGAAAGGAGGTGGAGCTACTATGAGCACAAGGACAGCACTGCTGCCCAGCGCTTTCTCAGGGGTGGTGGGACGAAACCCAGCACCACCACACTATTGTGTCCCATGCTACTTTCAGAATTTTCACACTTGACCCCTTACAAGAACACTGTCCAAAGATATATTAGGCCTTCTCCTAACGTCCAGTGTTGGGTATTTCATTTTATTCTAGAGCCTCTTTCTCAGATGATGTTTGCCCTGAACCACGTCTCACTCTGGTGTCAAAAGATGGGGACTCACAGCCCACATCTAGGCAACATATTCCAGTGTCGCATTTCTCTTACTGTAAACAAGTTTGTTTGATTTTTCAGTATTTACACAGAATTTCCTTATTTCAGTTTGTGCCCTTTGTCCTGTCACTGGATAGCACCAGAGAAAGCCTGGCTCAGTCTCTTTTCTCTCTCCCACCAGGTATTTACGCAGATTGATAAGTACTCCCCAGGCCTCCTCCTGATACCAAACAATCCTAGCTCTCTGTCAGCTCCAATCCCTTCCATCAATCTCATTCCAAGATGTTTTGCTGAAAATATGAAAAGCTGAGCTGTCATTTAGTATTAGTTACTAGGACACACACTCCAGCATATCTGAAGACATGTCAGTCTTTGTCCTTTTACCATCCTCAGAATATGAGAGCACAAGTCCCTGGCACCTCAGCAGTAAATGCATGAGGAGAAAACTGCAATACCTGGTTACATGGCAAGGGGGAGGAGAAGAGGAGGAAAGCAATTAAAAATTTATACACACAAGAATTCAGACGTGTCCAATATTTTGGGATGTCACCCTGGTGTTAACAGATATTCTGCAGATGCTAAAAATGAAGTATCTTTGAAATCCAAAACCACATCAACGTATGCACAGACCAGACAATTGTATTTGGGAATAACAAAAACAAAGTTCAGTACTAGATTTGGTAAAAGAAAAGAGGATGGAAGACAGCTCTTCAGCTGTTATGGAGTTTAGATAGTCACCACCATTTCAGCAGATCTGATTTGCTTATGTAGGGAGCAGACAATCCAGAAATACTTACACTGAACTGGGCTAGAATGCAATCAAGGCAGACAGCTGAAAGAGAAGGAGTACCAAAGGAGAGTGGAAAAAGGACCACTGAAGATTTTCCAGCGAAGCAGTGTTCATGAGCCAACAAATTCACTTTTCTCCTCAGACGCTATGGGTATAACATTTGTGCAAGTCAGAGCCAAGTAATCAGCTAGGCTCCTTTCCCATTTAGATGTACACACCACTCCTGGGTGTCCCCCCACCACAGGGACACATAAGCACTGAGTGCATTTCCCCGTGCTGCAGATAGCTAACATGGTACAACAAAACCTCGTAGAATCAGTTTGAAGAGGAAAAAATGTCACAGTCTGAATGTCAGCTATATATGAAAATTTCTGAGTGCCTTTTGGTAGCAGAGCCATTGCCAAATCAAAATAGCTTGCTTCACACTGCTCCCAGCTGTTAATAACTTATTATCTCCCAATTGCTAAGCAGCCTGCAAACAATGACCCTGTCATCTTCTCAATCATCAGAACACCTTCTCAAAAACAGTGTTATTTACCCCTTTCAGCCCAGAGAGCACTGACCTCAAGGACTGACTCACAAAAATATTGACCTCACCCAAACACTTGGGAACAGAGTGGCCTCATTTCATGTTCCTTCTCGTCATGTCAGTGCATTGTTCCACAAGAAAATCTACACAGATCAGAGGATGTGAGATGACAGCTGAGGGAAGGCAGACAGACTCTCTTCACTGAGGGTCTTTTATGCAGATACTGACTCTCAGTAGTCTTTAAGTTACTTCTTAAGAGTTGAAACTCTCTCTTTAACAACAACAAAAAGTCTGATGTTCCAGTTTGTCTGGACAGCATCCCCTGCATCTTGTAGCTCCAAGGAGCCTGCAGAAATGATGACTGAAGCCTTCACAGCCAATCAAAAGCTGAGACAGTTAATATTTCCAATACTGCTTGGCACTCTGGAGTCCAAAAGTCCCTGGCCAACAGCATCAGTATGTGAGGGACATCTCCTGGGTATCTAAAATATTACCTCTTGTGCAAAGCAAGATGCCAGAGAGCACACTCCATCCTCCAACTATCATGACAGTGTCAACATCACCCCTGTTGAGCAACTGTTTCCAGGACCCTTCATTTCCACCAGCCTCTGTATGTCCTCACAGTGACAGTGACAGATCCACTGTGCCCTACACAAACTGGATCAATGTATGCTTTTATCATTTTTATCTCAAAGTAGGAAACAATGTTATGAACAACGGTGGTTCAAATTCAGGAAGATCATTAAATTCTCCCCTTCTACTACATTTCAAGATCAACTCTGGATGGACCTGAGCATGGATACAGGGAATCCTGGCTACTACCTCTGTAATTCCTGTATCTGTGTAACAGTTATCTTGAAGCAAATTCAAATAGCTAAGCAAAGAGGGCATAAAGCAGATGCCCAACAACTCTTCCCAGTACAAAAAAAAGCCTCACAGTTCCTTTTTTGCCACTGACTACATAATCAAGGAAGAATTGCCATCTGCACAAAGAACAATTTACTGGGTCTAAAAATGAGTCAAAGTACATGTGAATATACAGTATAATCAATTGAAATCTTTGAAACACAAGTCAGGATTCAAGTCTGGGACAACCTTTCTCTTACTTTCTAACACTTAAAAAAAGCCCAACAACTTCACACCAAGAACGTTAGTCCTCAATCCCACATGGCATATTAAATTAGTTGTAGTTCTGTCTCATCTTTACTGCAGAAAGCAAATCAGACATGTATGTTACTGCTTGTCATCACTCACATTTTAATATTGGCACTGCAAAATGATATACACAGTAATTTGATCATTACAAACTCGTAATTCTGTCTTTGGAGTAAGTTTCTTTGTTATGGGACAAGAAACTCCACTGAATTTTAAACTGAAGAATTAATCATTAGCTAACACCTGATGGTAGAAGATCCCAATCTGAATTACAGGCCTAAAAACTTCAGCTTGAAAAGCCCGATTTTAACTGTTCTTCAGCAGCAGCCATTCTCACAGAGAATTTCCCCATACTAAACTGCTAACTTCATTTACTTCATGTTACAGCACAGATTTAATTTTTTTGCAAATACTTGCAAATTCTTCTCCCATCTGCTCTGTAGAACTGCCCACAGCAGCTCTAGGTAACTATTTCTTTCATCCAAATGGACATGCTATCATTAATTCTTAATTGGTTTCTAGGCACCCAGCCCAGTGAATACAGACTGAACTCTCTTCTCTGCATTCATTACTTAGTGAACTTCAGGAACCGTAGCGTATGATAAGTATGACATAGGAAATGCAAAAGGATGCAGGTTAGCTGTGGTCCATACTACAGTGATAACCCAGTTCCTGTAAGTTCAGACACCAAGCATGGGAAAGAACTTAAAACACTACAAACTTAAGCACTGGGAATTTATATTTGGGTTTTGGTCAGCAACTTGTGCAACACATCAGAATTCCTGTTTCAGTTCTAGGTAATGTTTTTGTGTGTGGAGATTATGCACTGAAACGTTATTTTTTTTAACTGTCGTACACTGAGAGAGGCAGCAAAGCCTGCATGTAACCTGATGTAGAACATTACTGATTTGATTCTGCTACATTGAGATTCAGCCCTGCAAGGAATTCTTCACAGCACGATCTGTTTAATAGATCCGTTAGGGATTCATTGATATCTTTGTTGAAAACAGAGTCAAAGTTTCCATTCACACAGGCTTCATTTCCATTTTCCAGTTGAAAATTACTCATCAAATCCTGTATCCACTTAAGATCCTCAGAAAGCTCTTGACTGAGAGATTCGTACTGACTCTGCAGAGCAGCATATTTCCCAGTTATGACTGTAAGACTGGCTCCTACAGCCTTGATATCATCTTGCAGATGTCTTTTCAGGGATTCAGTTTTGCGGAATTCATACTTGAGCTGAGACAGCTTATGCCTCACGCTTTCATTTTCTTCTTTATACCAAGCTTCTTTTTCATTATAAATGGAAACCAGAGCATCAATGTCCTCCTGCAAAGAGTCGTGGGACGCAGCCAAAGCGCTGACCTCTCGTTCCATAAATGAAATGTCTTCTACTACCTGGGCAAAGCGCTCAAAGTTGATGTAGGTGTTATTAGGAGGCATACTTGAATGGCATTTTATGGTGTACTCTCTCAGTCGTTTTGTCTTGAGCTGTGTGTTCTCAGCCTTCTTGTTTTCTTCAACTTTTGTTTCTTCCTTCAGCTGGTGAGTCTTCAGATAGAGGAACCAACATTACTGGACATTTACAAGACAGTGCAGTAATTCAAACTCTACACAAAGGATGCAGCCTGAATTTCCAATCTGTGGGAGATTCTTTTCTCCCACAGATTTTCCTTCACACATTCAATTAAAAAAAAAAAAAACGCAATAAAACGACAGGAAAAAATGAATGTAGTAAGCAATGTGCATTCATTCCAGTGTGGTAAGTTGAAGACCAGGGCCTCAGTTTCTTTTGTTGTTAATTTTTTAATCAGTCATTCTCAAAAATATCAATATTTGTAAGAGGAAAAACAACAGTCCTGAAAAGAGTCCACTCAGTGCTTTTTGCAGTGCGGAGCAAAAACTGGATCACTGTGCATGCTGAGATTATCCTGAGGTATTTTCTATATTTTCTATATTTATGCATCCACAAACACAAGCAACATTTATGATGAAAAAATCCATTCAGACACAAAAGTCAGCACATCAACACATGTGGTACACACAGTTACATTCTGAGGTAAATTATATTTCCACACTGGCTGTGATCAACTCCCAAATCAAGAAAGCACTGTATCTGAGATATAGTGCTTATCATGCAAGCAGAGAAGGATGAAGAAATGCAAAGCACAGTCTAATGTAGGACACTGTACATGCAACAAACATCAAAGCTTTGTTCTCCTCTTTTTGACAACCATGATAATAAAAAGTCATGATTAAGGTTCGCAGAAATCCCAAGATTCAGTCAGAACCCAACCAATTTCCTCCCAGTACATCTCCTCTTTCAGATGTCAATGGTCTCTAACTACACAGAGGTCAGATTTCCAATTAACACATCAATAAGAGTGAGAACATTATCTCTGCTCGGCCCACAGCAAAAAAGCAAGATCTCCCTTTTTATTTGGTCTTACCGTTATCCATGGATGAGACAGAGCTTCTTGAATTGTAAGACGTTTCCTAAAAAAAAAACCACAAAAAAAAGAAACACAAAAAGTACAGATTTGAGAGAGAAATACCTTGCATACAAGTCCATTAGTCTTCTCTTTGCCTTTGTATAAGCAGTAAAGTATTTATCAAGTTAACTTCAGGCCTAATACTGAAATTCAGGATTATGCTTTTCCACAAGGCATGCTGTTTGTGTGTTTGCCTGTAAGAAGTTGTCCCCATCCCAATTTTAATGCTTTCCTGTCTGAAATCTTTATTTTTGTGTACCCTCTTATAAGAAGTGATAAAAGATTATTCATCCTACAGGCTTAGAGAATAAATTATTTCTATATACCTTTAACATCACTGTGTCTGAATCTTGGTATATAATGTTAATTATATCAAAAGTGTCTTCTAGAGTGCAACAGGACATCATTCCTGCCATGTCCTGAAAACAGAATTTGAGAGGAATACTTCAAATCTTATCCAACATAACTGATCCTAACTTCTTCCTGCAGTGTGCAGCTCAGTGAACAGCACCCTATCACCATTCAGAATCAAAGGCAGAACCACCACATTGCTCTATAACACGTGACAAATATCAATGTGCCTGACTTGTCTTTTTTATAAGGAGGTTGCTGGACCTGCACTAGCCTCTCATCAAACCCCACCTACTCTAACCTATTCTAAGACTGCTGCAATTCCTTGGGGCTTGACCCAACAGCTTGCCTCTTTCTAATATCCTTCTTTTCTCCTATTGAAGCCACTAGAAAGAACTGCAACAGCCTGACTTCCCTCTGGGATGAACAGAGTTAAGGGGAAGGAGATGCTACTTCTATGTGCACTTTATTAAAAGAAACACTTTTAAAAGACTGTGGTTCCCAAGGACTGAGAATAAAGCTCTGAATAGCTGTCATGCAAATCCTGGGTGATTGCAGTGGATGCATAGAGACATAAAGAACAATTCCAGTAGGAGCAGATGTAAAAACAAAATGTTCTTGGACCACAGGGAACGTTTTACAGGATTGTGTCATGTCCTTGCAGGCAGTTCACAGCAGATTGAAATACTGGAGTGGTAGTTACCTAGAACTAAAGATTTTGCATACCATTTTCAGCCCTTCACCAACACATTGTTGTACCACTTTCACTTTGGAGAAAATGCAGTCATGAAATTGAAATTTAACACAGGAGATTTCAGTTCCTTTTGTTAGAGTTTGTGGATGCTGTGATTCACTGTGGGCACAGCAGCAGAACTCTGCCTACCATCTTGCTCTTGAATGGCAACACACACTGCAGGGAAGGCTTTGCAGATTGCTCTGCAGGCTGTTTCACCAGATTTATCTAAAACACCGATGAACGACTCTGAGCTTTCGCTTACCGTGTGTCTTTCACCAGCAGTTTCCGAATAAAATCTTTTGCTAGGTCGCTGGTATTGCTGAAAAATTCTTCATCAAATTCATAATTCACAGCTGTGATGTTAGCGAGCGTTTCTTGTTTAGTTTCTCCAAGGAAAGGTGATGCACCACTAAGCCTAGATGAGCCATAAAAAAGAATCAATTGGAAATAGGTCCCCTATTTGTGGATCTCTGTATTGTAGCAGCCACAACACTTGGGAAATAACAGGTCCAGCATCTGTGGTTCTGAATCAGTCTCATTCTGAAAGTCTCTAGGGCAGCACTGAGTGCTCAGACAGACATGCACAGATTCTCCCATTCTGAGTATCTCACTGAAGTCACAGTTTGTCAAAATAGGAAAAGCTTCAGCTGAGGAGAGCATCTGTGGCTATGACTCCACAAACACTACCAGCCAGAAAGCTTCTGTCAGGTCAAGCAGATAAATTTGTATTTCCATTCATTTTCATCAGGTAGAAAAAATCCTGCCTGCAATTTTCTGTCTGCAAAGTTACCGACAAGTTCCCTGTGCAGTAAGTGCAGCCAGGAGATGTTTCTCAGATGGCATCACAATACAGTGCGTGACCAGAAATCAGGGGCGGCCTTGCTAGGGGTCAGCCCTGCATGGAGGAATGGGCACACAGCTCATCAAAAGAAATTCACTATGGAACTTCAGTTGAGGTAGAATCCAACCGTTTCTGATCAATGTAAGATTGCATTCTCTTGGCACTTTCCTCCAACCGTATGGACGTAATAGAGGTATCATAATAAAACAGCATTCAGTAAGCTTTATTTAGACAGAAAAAGCTTTCATTTTGATTTGTCTACTTTGCCTCTCTCAGCTGTGACTTGACAACTTTCATCTGTAATGACTATTTACCTTTTCTCCACAGAATTCAAAGGTTCACTGCAGACTCTTCCTACCCTGCCCTCCACTCCCCTCAACATGAAGGGATGCAAGCCCGGTTTACAGGAAATATTATTTATAATGAGGAAATTTATTTCATTCCTGTTTAAAGTTGCCTGGACTATTATGCTCATCTCCTGTGCCTTGTTTTGATAGCAAAGCTTCACGATGCAGCAGGCTCAAAATAGGATTGCAGCAAACTCCTGTGATCTAAAGTGAGTGTTTGAATAGAAAACTGCTATACAGATCTTTTATTTTGTCTTTACTTTCACTATCAATTTGACTGAGGATTCAGAGGTAAGCAGAAGAAGACACATGACCACGTGTGTCATTCAGCCCAGTCCCCAGCTACCACAGCTTCACTCACAGAATAAGCATTTGAGCACAGAAAGTTTTCTCTTCTGCTTTAATCATATAATGACACTGACGTTGCTGACACAGTAAGGCAACACAAATGAAGTTCTCCAGCTGTTTTTGATGCCGTAAAGTCTGCCCCATAGGCACAATGAATCTCATTTCTTAACAGGTTCTCCACCCTCCCTCTTAAGCTTTGCTCTGTTTCAGTTAGTCAAAAAGAAGGTGACAAGAAGACTGCTTTCATAAACCACAGGAAACTTGTGAAAGAAGCAGTTCCACAAATTGTCAAGCTCCATCTTAAAACTATCTCAACTGCTTGTTTCCAGTATGTCAATAGAATCTCATTTATTGGAGTTTACATGCTTTTCTCATGAGCATTTTTTTCTTGTGCTTACTGACTGTGGTGATGTTCCCAGCCAGCCTTTGCCTCTCTACCTTTAAGAAGCCCTTTTTAATGCTGCAAGATGAGTTCTCTGCTTCCTGGATCAACCATCTCTGCTCCTGTTTCAGCTTAAATTCGTCTTTTTTAATATGGGTGACCATATTTATATAAACTAAAATGCTACCTTTACAAGCAGTTTCAAACTCCTCTGTTTTCACCAGAAATAACTCTGCTTGTAAATGCTGCTGTTAGATACTTTATGTATCTATTCTCTCCACACACTGGTAATTCAACTATTCTACGCCCAACCAACAGGCTTGGGCTTTTCTATCCTCTATCACACTGTACTGATGAGATCTCATAGGAAGCTGAAATGCCCAACATCTTCAGAGCCATTTGTTCTTCATCTGGTCATAATGGCCCTCTCAATTTTTTTAATGCCTTATTTTAAAATTTGAGAAAGCTGAGGAATAAGTTTTTCCATTAGAGGATGTGTGTGCAGCTCCTTTCTTGCTTGACTGAAGGAAAAGCTGCTCTGTAGCAGTGCATTAGAGCTTTAGGAGCACTTCTATACTAATGAATGTATAGTTTGTACTCACAGTATGTAGGTGATGACTCCTATGCTCCTGAAAAACAAAGGAGATTAATTGCAAAGCTTCTGCACTATCTATATTCTTTTCTTTTCAACATAAACAATACAGAAATGGTTACAGTATTGCAATACGGGCAGGAAAGCTCTCACTGTTTCAGATAAAAGTCGTTATCTAAAGCTAGTTTTAATGAAAATGTGAATTTTACACCAATACTCATATTTTGTGGATATTTGAAATGACTTATTTCTATGCTGGGAGATATTTACCACAGTACCTACCAGAAATACACAGAAACAGTAGGAAGGGTATTTTATTTGGGGTGACTTCTTTTGGCTGCATTCTCAGCAGACCAGATTAGTACGCAGGTCTACTCTGCATGCAGTGCTCTTATAAATAAAGCTGTCACAGGCACTGCAGGAACATGTTTTCCTTTGAGAATGCTCCTCCGCAGCGGACAGTGGCAAAATATTAACTCTGTAATGGCCATTATTCAAGTTTTTCACTGTAATTTTGAAGAAGTTAACCACTTCTTTTACCTTTTCAATAAAAGTAATCAGTAAAAGATGGAATGACAGAACAAAGAATATGTAATCATTAGACTTCAGTTTGTTTTGAGATTCCCTTCAGAGAACAGTGGGAAAAATTGTCAGGAGAGCAACCTGGAAAAGAAGTTAGAAGCTTACCACATATCTGCAGCCAGCCCCAGTGGTTCATAGTTCACTATTTCTGGAGCTATAGAAGATATCAGGAAAAAAAAAAAAGAAAGTGGATGGGAACAGAAAAAGACCAAAAAACAGACAACTGCTATCCATGAGAAATCGTATTATAAGAAAAAATTTCTTATTGCAAAGCATCCCCATGTAAGACAGCATGCAAGGGAAAAGACCAAGGTAAGATACTGAGACAAAAAAAAGGTGTCTCTAGCAGCACTGAAATCATCTCAGGTCATGGAACAGACGTGCTTAAATGCAACATGAATTACAATTCTCTTCCCCACCACAACCCCCAAAACTCAAAATAAAACAAATAGGAAGTAGAGAGACAAATTAGAATGATGATCAGTAAGCAATAACAATAAAATCAAGTGGAAAAATGAAGGGGAGAAACAATGGGAGGCAGTTTGACTAGAAAGAAATAAAAGAGGAACCTGTGCAATTGTGCAGCAACGCACACAGATTACTTGACCCAGGCAACAGGGAGAAAATTATAGAAAATTATAACTTGTATTGCAGTGTTTCACAACCTCAGCCTTGAATTTGTGTCTCTAAACATTTATTTGGCAACAACTGACTCCCACAAGAGTAGCCCATCAGGCATACAGAAAGCCTAATGCAGAAAAATATAGCAGATTTCTAGATTTAGGTCACCTTGATACAAACTGGTCACTCACCTACGAATTCTGGAGTTCCAAAAATGTTTTTAAATTCAACTCCATCTTCTATTTTGTGAGCCAGGCCAAAATCAATGAGTTTAATGTGTGGAATAGGAATATTCTTGTCAAGAAGCATAATGTTTTCAGGCTAAAAATAACAAAAGATAGATATTTGTTGTTATATTATCTTAGAAAACAACAGATCTACATCTCCAGTTCTCAAATTTTTTCCTTCCCATATACAACACTGTAGAACAAGAAACACGTGTCCTTTCTTAATCATACACAATTCACTCTTTTGGTAAAGGGATGACATCTCCTAACGTTTGACATCAATGAACAGATCAGAATTTTGCAACAGGAAAACAAAACTGATAATACAATAAAAATAAAAATAATAAAATAATACATTCTTCCTCTTGCAGTTTTTATTCTCATCTCAAGCAAAATCTTTCTATCTTCACATTAAGCCCATCTTAATGATGAGTGCTGCCAGGATAGAAGCAACGTATCCTTGTTTCCACACTACTGTATTTAGTTCCCTAATCTGATAAGATATGTAACGATATTATTATCCCAGCAGCATTGTGATGTAACATGAAGTGGCTCTGTGGTGCATCTTGTCCTCTGTTAAATCAGAAAATACTTCCTCATCCTGAAAGGCCTCCTAGGAAGATGCCAGGCCCTGATGCCCTGGATTTGCCACTGTTGTAACATCAGTGGCTACTTAACAGCTAGAGGGCAGCTGAAGCAGTGCAACTACCTAGTACAAAGACAGCATGCACTTGCTCAATCCTGAAGGAGAGCTACACAACTGAGTATTTTGCTGAACTGTTCTTGGAACGTACACTGAGAAATCCCATTATTTCTGCCCAGCTGTAACTAATGTACCATAACCTGCTGGACAGTGTCTTAGTGTACAGCTCTTAACATATCTGAACCTACTTAGGGAAGGTAAATAATCTTTTTTCTGGAACTAAATTCACACCTGCAACAAGAAGACCCAGAAAGATCTACAGGATTTGCTGCCTGAATAATCCTTAAAATGGAAAATGTAGAGATTAGTGGTCCTATATCATGTATGACAACAAGCCATTAGAAGAACATGCAGCATTTCTTACAGATTCACAGGGCAAGGCCCTGAGCCAAAGCTAGAATAACTTTGATATTAGACCTATCTTTACCTCAGTCATAGACTCCTTACTCTTTGCCAAATGCAATGGATATTACTTTTCTTTTTTCCAATTATGTTTCTCAGCATTCGTTGCTCCTTGTACTTATTTCACAGGTTTCAGAATAAACTGCAGATTCAATTATCTCTGATGAAGAGCTTCATTGCATTAATTTTTCATAACTCAATCATAAGCTCAAGAGCAATGGTGAGACAATCTGATTCACTGCTGGCAGCTGCCTGGCCTTTTCAAAGCAGATCCTAAGGTGGAAGTGTCTCCTGCTAACACACACACACTCACTCAGAGCTGTACTGGGAAAGAAAGCGTATGAATAATTTATTGTCATAGGCTATTTTAGCCTCTGGCTAACAAGTCTGGTTTTCTTCCATGGATCTAGGGCGTACGTGTTCCCTGCAGATACATGATGTAAGTTTGGAGCACGCAGGACAGACTGAAACGGCAAGAAGTCACAGCCACAGCCCTGCACTGCTTTATTCCTTAAGGTGTGTAAGACACTGCAGCTCCACTGAAATTGATGCAGCCTTGATCAGTGATGAGATAAATATCAATTTTCTTCCATCTGATCAGATCACTGCTTAAAAAAATATATGCCTAATTTAACACTGGTAAAACCCCAGGAAACAGTCCTATTAAATCCAATAGACTTAATCTGTGAATTTGTTTTAGATAACTTGATATCCTCCATCAGTGAAATGATTCCCCACTTATCTTTTCTTATTTCTATTCTGCTTTTTTTCTGTAACATCGCCACTGACCACCTGACGTCACTAACATTACATCCCAAAAAAGGTACAGTCATCAAAAATTATCAATAACAGTAACTAAATCAGCTTCTTCACCTTTAAATCAAAGTGAGCAATTTTCTTAGAGTGGAGGTAATTCACACCATCCAAAATCTGCTTGATGAATCTGGTTGCTTCCTCCTCACTCAAAGATTCCTTCTGTGCCAGGAAGTCAAAAAGTTCTCCTCCAGACACCCTGCAAAACACACCAGGAAACTTCCCGTTATCAACTGCGCTCTAGGACATAAAATAAACGTAATCAAAGAAAATTGAAGTAGCTGAACACTTCCATATAGTGAGTAAAGGCCACCTTCACCGACAATCTGGAGCTCTGTGCTCTGGCCTAAGGTGCCAAAACTGCTTTTAGCTCCCAAAACTGCTTTTAGCTCCCTCCCCTCCAAAGGAAGGATTATCTTTCCCTAATGCATTGATGCTGCAAGGTTTGATTCATCAAGAGTTATGAAGGTCCAAAAAGAGGTGCGCTGTCTGATAAACCCACAGACATGTTGTAACAGGAAGGCTTCGATGTTAACTATTCCAACTGCAGTTTTCCAACATTTTCACTTTGGACAAGACACGGGAAACAGAGAAAACTGCAATAGCCAGCAACTGCTGAATAGTTGCTTACCAGCTGCCACCAGTAACATGAAGCAATGAAATCGGGCAGCAAACTTTTGTCTTCTTTCCAGAACAGCCATTACAGTGGCTGTAGAACCAATACAAATTCTTGCCTGACATACACTGACAGGAAAGCATTCGTTTTGTGCTAATAAACAAGCAGATTGCAGCAGCCTGGAAGGTACCCAAAATTGTTGTTTCCAACCAAGGGAATGTTACAAGTTAATATGAGTCCTCAAAAATGAAATTCCATATGTATTTAGTACATACAACTATTTCTTTTGTCTCATATCGAGAGCCCTCAGTGCTACTTTTTCCATACATCACGAAAGAGGATTATCTTGGTAATGAATTGTGCACTGTTTGCAGTTGTTATTCACATTTACACTTACATTTCTTGCCTTCAGTTCACACTCATTGATAATCTATCATAATCCAATTTTTCTCCTGGCGGTTATTTCTCAAAATGGTTGTTTTCTCTTGGGCTGAGATGTACCACTTACCTGTGCTCAGCACTCCAAGCTCAAGAGCAAGACTTGAACAGTCCAAGAGTAAATCAGGAAAATAGATTTTCGGCCCTGTTGTCTAATGAGATAGCAGTAAAAGAACTCGCAGGTTCAAGTGCTTTGAGTTAACTGAGTGCTGTGACTCACAGGCAAGTCAGATCACACTGCCTGTGCACTGCAGAGGTCTTTTAGGCAATCCATCATTCCTCTGACCCCAGGCTCCTTTCTAACACTGGTGGTGACAATGATTCCCTACTCTGCCTCATGCCAAGGAAACTACTGTGAATGGTCACAAAAAATGCAAGAAGTCAATTGCAAACAAGAACCCCGTGTCAAATGCCAGTTTTTGGCTCATTTCTTAGCTCTCACTGATGCTGTGGGTGACAGCATATGACACCATTCTGTTCTGAAGGCACTGATTTACACAGTGCCTAATGACCTGCCTGCCAGTTATGGGACATTTTTCCACAGTTTCCACATTGGCAAGAAACTTTCTATGCAACATGAGGCAGGACATTTCACCTGCAGAAGTCCCTTGGTCTGTAATCGTTGCTGCTAAGTGGCTGGCAAACAAAAATAAAGGACTCAAGAATATGGTGCAATAGCTGCTCCAAAAGTAATGCCTCCTGTTTTATTATATTGGCCCATAACATCAGAGGTGGATGTTGGTAGCATGGCAGTAGAATTTAGACCTTCTCCCAAATATTCCAGGATTACTTCCAGAGTGATCTACATACTTACTCCTACTAACTTTCTGTACAATTTACTCAAACCTCATATTAATGAGAAATCATCACATCTCTTCTACTGAGTTTTCCTTTAGATTGGTCTCTTAAGATCTCTGCAGCTCAGGCTAAGTCTTAGACTTTACTACAAGACACTGGAGATGTATGCTGAGCTCTGATATTCAGAAACCAAAACGCTCGTGTTTGTTTTAAGGAATAGCCTTTTGCTGGTGAAGTAGCAATGGGAATTCAGACACTCTGAATCTTTTTTTTTTAATTTTCCTTATTTGTTCTCCTGTAGTGTTTCGTACCTTGAAAGTTCCCTCTGCTAAATTTTCTGGCATTCCTTTGTACATACATTCTCTGACATCCTCAGTACAGTCCTCTGTGCCAAGGGAATGCAAAGGGAATGCCTTTCATAAAGTGCCGTGGGATCTGTGCTCTCCTTAAGCAGTATCTTCTTTTGCAAGTGCTGGTGGAGAGAAGGCTGAGCTGAAACGTTGTCAGGCCCTTTCAGACAGAACTTATTACTAATTCTCATTAAAAAGCCCGCCACGAGAAGCTTCTGCAGCGCAAAGGGAGAGAGAGTAGAGTGCCTGCATGGTTACATTCCAGAAGGGTAGCAGAAAGTATCCCAGTGCAGCTGGCTTCCTGCTGGCAGGGCCAGACTGCTGCAGGAGGTAACCGCTGGTGTGTACTCTGAATAGAAATAATTAAGGAAATGAGACTTGCCTGCTCTTTGTACACAGATTTCAGCAGAGACTAGCAGATCTCACTTACAGATTCCTTTAATAACTTGTCGCAGCTGCAATCATTTTTTAGCTACCTAACCCTACTACCACTTGGAATGCAGACAATGTTCTCTGGCTCCTGAAATGCACAGAGTAAAACAAAAGCAGTAAAAAACTCATAGCTCCACTGCAGGTCACGTTTGAACATCCAGACAAGTGTGTTTTCCAAATCAACACCACAAATGAAAGAGGGAGTGCTCCCTTCTTGGGGGACTTCATCTTACAAAAAATCCCTCCTTCTGGTCTCATCTCTTTATCTCTTATCACGTCACCTTTCTTTCCAAGGAAAAGAAAGAAGCAAGTGGATGACACTTTGCTCTTCCTGCAAAGTCCAATAAACGATAAAGCTGCCTTACTTCTTGGGAACGCTTACTAGTAGAGGAGTCTGGTGTATGAATCAGGGCTGCCTTTAAGCCACTTTCGTTTTGGCAAAGCAGCTCAAGGCAGAAACCAGGCGACAGAGAACAGCAGCAAGGTCACTGAAAGCTGTGGGGAGCGTAACCCTGGGCAGTGTGCACATGGAAGGGCAAACTCTGGGCCTGCCTAGGTGCACATTACAGCAGTGAACTAGGCAGTGCTCTTTCTGCCCCTGAACAAAACAAACAGCATCTGTAGAATCTGTCCCCACATAAAGGGAAGATACCACTGTCAGTGCCAGCACAATCTGATTTGGAGAGGGTGTCCACATTTAAGCCAAAGCCTGTTTTAAACATCCAGGCAGCTTCTTCAATTAATAAGAACACTGGGAATATTCTTTTGAAGCTAAAGTCCACTGCAGCTTGTCGTAAGATTAACTGGCCATGTGCTGAAAATGCTTATCTGAATAAACTGCAGTGAGTATGGGACTGATAACAGTGTGTGAGGAGTAGAAATCATCTGCTTACAGAGAGAATCTATGTAGCTTTATTAGCAATTATCATCATCATCCTCAATTTGTGTGCAGTAGCAGAATGCAGTGGCCTTAATAAGTTCAAAGTACTGTTACACTCAGCCCTCTAAAAATGAAATGATGTGGATGTGGCTTTGGATGTGGCTCTGGGCAGTCTGGTCTGGTGGTTGGCAACCCTGCATACAGCAGGGGGGTTGAAACTAGCTGATCATTGTGGTCCTTTTCAACCAAGGCCATTCCACGATTCTATGATTCTATGAAATAAGCTACTGCCTGACAAGAATACATACAAAATGTACAAGGCCGTGTGAGGACAGGAAGAAGTAGAAGATAATGAAATGGGAGGTTGCTTAGTAGCTGACAATCAAAGAGAGCAAGCTTCTTTCCTGTCTTCTAAAGCAGACTTCTAGTTACAGAGACTAACATTTGGCCATACACACATACTTAACAGATGCTCACCACCACTCACATGCCATCTGCCAGCAGTCACATCAATCTCCAGGCACGCTCCCTGGCCTGAGTGCTGACACTCTTGGAAGACTAGTGGTTATTCATACAGCCTCGTTGTCTGGATTCCATGCACAAGGCCAGGGCAGGTGCTCTGGGGAACAAACAATCTGCATAATGTCAGTCATGGCGTTCCTATAATTCCTGCTTCATACACAAACTGCATAATTTACTAAGTACCTAAAAACTGCTGTAAGTAGAAGACCTCTGGGTTCCTCCTTGTTTACTACAGCTTTAGTTCAGTGCCATGAATTTACAGACAAAGGGTATGTCGCCTTCTGCACAGCTCCTCTAAAACTCAAGGATCTGTACATTAGGTGATATCAAGTCCACTAAAGAACAAAATATAGATCAAAAATGCTGTAAGTGCTGTTTTCCTTTTTTCACTTCATGGCAAATATTCATCCTGCTGGCCAAAATCATACTCCCTGAGCAGCAAAGCTCTCTGTATTACAATAGCCACTTCCATTGCTGGCTATGATGAGTATGTGCATACAGTTCTGGTCCCTGGTTTGTGTGACAGTGTTTAGCTTTCTCCTTAGAACTTTGTGTGTTGGCTGTTCTAGCTCTACAACAGAAACTCTTCATTCTTTGGCAATTAGTCCCTTTTCTGAAAAGCTCTACTTCAGCTTCACCACTGTAAGTTGAGGTGACATAGAGAAAGTGATCGTGTAAACTCTACCCCAGCCCCTTAAGATTAACATCCCTGCGTGTAATCCCCAACACATAATGTCTCTGAAGCACTGTTAAAAATTATGTGACTGCTTCTCAAAATATGGCCAGGCCTGTCTGTCCAAGCCAGGGACTCTGAATCTCAAATCGGGCAGCAGAAACAGGCAGGACATATGTAAAACAAGTTAGATTATAAAACCTTACATTATTAGGCTGTGCTCTGCACCTGTCTAAAATGTTTCATCTCAGTTTGCCATCTCTGAACACATGGGAAGGACAGCAGAGTGTATTGTCTTTGGGATGCAGTATTTCTAGGCTGATGAAACAAACAGCAAAAAGAATTCACACAGGGAATTCCACAGCTATTGGAGAGACCAACAATTTTGATACTACTTCAGATTCTAATCATCTGGCATTTCTCTGCATTGTGAACATGTACTAGCCAGGTTTTCTCACTTCCTTACAGCCAGTGAGAGTACGTATAGACAAAAGGACCAAAGGTGACTCCTTTAAATGCAAAACTCACATCACATCCCAGCCAAGCAAAGGCTCCTTCACCACGTCCATGTAAAAATGATGCCTGACCACATCTCTAGCTTCCCTGGGATGGGCATCTATTCTTACAGGCAGGGACGTGCACAGGTTCTACAGAAAAAGCCACTGTTCTCTCAGCCCAGACAGAGAAGCTACTGCTAGCTGCTTCTGAATCTCTTCTTAAACAGAACAAAGCTACATTTCACAGCCAAATATGCATAATAATCATCCCAAACCAGCAGCCTGGCCACCCAGTGGGCCACAAAGCAAAAATGAGGCTATAATGGCCCACAGAAGTCCAGGTCAGGAGGTACACTTGTCAGCAAGTCCTAGAAGGCAAGAGTTTTTCCCCATCACATTGCAAGAAAAGTTCTTCATTCCCACCCTGCTGCTATTCACTCTGAATAAGGAAAGTTTGGGGATCTCCAAAATTCTTCCCCTACTGCCTCCCCTCTCCCTCCCTTTTTTTTTCCTTGTCTCTTCCAAGTGTCCAAGTGAAGAAAATATGGGTTTAGTAGAACAGCTGAAAATATGGCAAGATTTTTGTGCACTGAAAAGGAAGACTGCAGGAAGTGCAAAAAAAAAAAAAAAAAAAAAAAAGGGGGAGTTCAGTGGCCATTCGTGGTTCCTTAAAGGCTCATGACAGGGCAGCACCACGCACTCTGTTGGCAAACTCTTTTTCTTTTCTTTTCTTTTTTTTTTTTTGAAGCTGACAACAGAACCTGCCTCATTAGCAATGGCCTCAGGTGATTTAAGGTGCACCTATGCCCCCAGGACACATGAATTGACCATGGGGCTGTTCATGAGCATCCTCATCCAGCTCTCCCACCAAGACTTGCGAGGCCCGAAAAGACAACAGCTCCATTTTAACAGTACCCCTGTGCTCTGGCAGCCTCATCCAGCCCCAGAGGAAAGCAAGTCCCTTACTCACAGCTCAAGGATGAGAACCACATCCGTCTTGTTCTCATAGATGTCGTGAAGCTTGATGATGTTGGCATGTAGGGTCTGCTGCAGAATGTCCACCTCCCGTTCTATTTCCTCACGCCTCACCCCTCGACGGCTGGCCCGACTCTGACGCTTTTTAATGAACTTAGCAGCGTACTCCAAACCGGTGCTTATTTCTCTACATTTCTTCACAATTGCAAATTGGCCACTGCAACAAGAAGATAATAGTCTCTTAAGGCTTTCATACAAACCTCTGGTAATATGCAACAGCTTCCTGAATATGCAAAGCTTGATCCTATGGCCCTTCTGAGGTACACTGTTGAAATCACACAGACTTGTTCATGTTTCAGTGATTAAGTTATGGCTCATGTTCAAATTATCCTTTGCTGGATAATAATGAAGGCATTCTAGACTGCAACACAGCACTGGGTGTTCTGAAAAGACATGAGTGCACTGAAGTACTTCCCTTTAGAATAATCTCTCTGAAAAGAATGTAAGGGATTGATGAGCCTTTGAAAATGCAGAATTAGGCCCAAGTAATCAGTTTTCAAAGAAAAGAATAGTTTATTCATGTTTCTATACTTCACTTGATAGTTTGGCTTTAAATTTAACTAGAACAAGTACAGGTATCTCACTGCACTTCAAGGACAGAGAATTTCCCATCATATTAAACAGAAAGCAGTTGTGTTAAAGATTAAAAAAAAAAAAACCAAACACGTAGCTGCCATTTGTTAATAACATTTTCCTGACTTTGTCTCCTAAAGTACAATATTTCACTTCAACTGCAATATTTCCCTTCTGTGTCCTGAAAGGGAAACACCTGGAGGTCAAATGACAAACTCAAACAATAGTAACCCTGCAGGTTGCAGCCTTATGTCAGTGATGTGAGCTTCTCAAGAGAGGCAATTGTTACCAACTCTTCAATAGTAAATAGGGGAATCCACTTTGCTCTCATTTCCATGAACTAGTCTCCCTTCATTGTGCCCTTGAGTGCACTGATGGAACTCAGAGAAGCAAAGCTTCCACAAAGCTGATGTTCCCTCCTTCTTGCTTGTCCTTCTGAAAGTAACTGTAATCAAGCCAAGACATGTCATCTCAAAATTAAGAAAGACGGGAGCTTTGTAGCTAAAGATTAAAATGATACCAGGTCTGTGCAAGACAAGAGTATGGCAGGAAACAGTGACTGTTCAGAGGGTCCTTCTTGCTCATCCATTTGGAGTCAATAACTTCTAGACAAGGACAATTGTGCTGCGTCTGAGGAATGTTTAGATGTTAAGAACTTTACAGCCATACAAACAATGAAAAAAATCATAAGCTATTAACTTGAGCTTGCAGTTAGTTGAACCAGGACATATAAGAGAGCCACTTCTACTTTAAAAGATGGTCTGTAGCTAAAGTAATGGAGGAATTTTGCAGATCTGATTTCTGCCATGAATGCACTGCATATATTCCTTAGCAACCCACTTCCATCCCATCAACAACAGAGGAAATGGCTTTCCTTTCTAACACACCACATGCCTAAGGGTTCTTGTACACCACTTAAAGCATAAAGGTGTCAGTCTTCCTTTGCTGTTACAATAACAGACATAGTAGGATTGCTAGTATTGTACCACGCAGTGTAACAGGCTCTTGTCCCAGCTGATTCTGGAAAGTGGACAAAAATCTCATTTAAAACAGTAATGTGTTTCTTCTTGTGATGGCTCATTTGTAGACTTAAATTAAACACATCTGTGCCTTTTTATGCTTCATTTAAATTTATGAGACTGAAATTATGCAAAGAGCAGTGCATGTACAGATTCAAATATCTACTGGCTCCTCAGGCCGGTTAATGAAGATATTAAAATACTCATCAGTCTGAAACTATGTGAAACTTCTACAGCTTAAGGTTTCATCACAATCTCTAAATATCAAGTAGTCCTTATTAAAATCAAGATAAATATTTTCCATTATTTTCCATATTCATGCTAAATTGCCTCATCTGGAGACACAAACTCTCCAATTCTTAAGTTTTTCTTAGATCTTAAAAAAACTAAACTCAAAAACTGACATATTTTAAGGAAAAAAAAAAAACAAAAAACAAAACAATCAACAACCAAGCTTCCAGCTCAAGTAACAAAAAGAATTAAGAATATCTGGTCTCGACATCAGCTTCAGTCAGTTGAAACAAATGAAGTCAGCTCCTCCACTGGGGATGAGCTTCATTCACTTACTGCTCTCTCTGCTCAATAGGAAGCCCAGCATTTTCATTGATACAATGGATTCAATTAACTAAATGAACTACACTCATTTTTAAACAGTTGTGACAAGTTTCTGTCGAGCCTTCTTGGTACCTTCTAACGGTACTTCAGGATTATTCATTACTCTGCCTTTTCACAACCACCAACCTGGACAGAATGATGTATAAAGTAAATAAAAAAAACAGGTGGTTAAATTGGAGCAGCTGGAAAACAAGGAGCCGGTGGGGAAGTGTTATAATGGCGAGCTGTCAAGGAAAATTACTCTAATAGCAGTGCTTGTGGACTGCATTTGGTAAGTCTGATGGCAAGCTGCTGCTGACAGGACAAGTCTTGTAGCAGTATCTCTGCAATACAACATTCAAGAGTCTGAATGGAAGGAAAAGTTGTCCACCTCTTCCATTTGGATACCAGTTAAATAACCTCACAGCCCGTCTGCATATATCTGTGATTTCAAGCAGCCAGAAGAATTTACAACTGACCTGAGGATTGCAGAAAACCTAAGCTGAAGGTTTGTTCTTCTTATTTATTTTTCCATTAGTGAAACTTCCTTTTGATGTTGGGAAAGGAAAAGAACACTGTATCCACTTTGCACAAGGCCACGACTGTAATGTTAGAAACTTTACTGTGGTGGTAACACACCAAATATCTTGCAGACTGAGCATATGCTTTGCTTAACTGTAAAATACAACGTGATAACAGAGGTGAAAAACAAGCAAGTGATGGCAGAACAGGACTTCAGTTATATAAGCTTTTGATAAAACTTCTGCTTCATGTAAGTTGTATTTTATTTTGGCAACAGGAAAGGGGCAGGAGGAAGAGCCAGTTGGCCAATACCTGCAGAATCAAATCATTTGAAGGTAAGGAACCCCACTAAAAACCTTTGCCATGCTCACAATAACTAGAGTAAAAACTAAGGAAATGTCAAGTCTGCCACGTACACCTCGTACCCTACCAAAAATTCCTTAGTCAGAAAAGGCTTTATCAATTAATATTTGATAGATTCAGACTTTTGCTAAAAACATGCAAAATACATCTTCATTTTTCCACTATGGCACAGAAATGTATTTCCAAATTGTAGGAGGAAATAGAACACTTCTTATGTTGCTATAGGAAGCCATGGTCTCTTAATGAGGAAGCCAAATAGCTACCCTTGCCTGGAACATATACAGCATTATAGGTATGCAAGGTCCTTCCACCAAAAGAGCCGTCTGAGCTCAGCCCTCATCTACTCAGGTTTACAAGAAGTCTCTGCTGATGGCCAACCACTTTTCAAGCAGAAAAATAAGGCAGTGAGCTCCTCATCATATCCACCTGCAGCTCCATTCTCTCCTGCCACAATACACTGCACCTATCTCTGATAAGACAATAATTGGTACATCTCCAGTCCCCGAATATAAGCATAGCACCATTTCTTTAGTCAAGGCATTATATCCAGGCCTGCAAGGACAAGCTTTATCTTACAGATAATCTTCACTTTTTGCTACTGCAATTTTTATCAGCCAAGATTTTTTTGTAACAATCAAATACACTCCCTAAGTGCAACCTCCCACAGCTACACTGCAGAAGTACTGAGCTCTTATTGGTTTCAATATGATTACATCCCTCACTACCTTGGCAAACAAAAGATGCGAGTACAGTTGGAACTCAAATTATGCAGCACACACAGCAATTACACTCAGAAACCTTATAATTACACAATGCACTTAGTACTTCATTAACACAGACAGCTGGTTGGAGTCTGTCTTCAACCCACAGAATAAAAAAAAAACTAAAAATTAAAGCTGTCACTTGGCCCTCACTTGTTCTCAAAAGCCAGCACTCCATGGCAGAAGCAGCCTCCTCTTTCCGAGAGCTCAAACAGTGACAGACAGCCTGAAGTACTTCTTTCTGGTTTTCATTTTCAGGCATATACTAAACACTTCTCAGGAGAGAGGTGGAAACATATGGGACAAGTGTACTTATCCCCCTAGGATTCAAACACAAGTGGAATCAACACTGCTGCATTTGTCAAATTCATTAATTAATATTTATGCTTCCTGATTTTGCTATTAGATGTAAACTCTAGAGAGCTTATGAGAATGAAATTCCTGCTACAAAATAAATCAGTCTTAAACATTACCCTAAAAGGAGTTCAATCTGTAGCTCTGAAAGCTATTTATGTAAAACATCATGAGTTTCATGTTGGTTGCTGTTTGTTTTACAAGACACACACCCCAACTGGTCCAGGCTTTCTAAAGAGACATAGTACAGGTACTGCTGAACTGACTTCCTCAACCAACTCTGCCAGCAAGCTCATGGAATAATATTACTTTATGACTGCTGATTATGGGAGTATATAGAGCTGCTTTTGCTTTTAAAAAGCCCAACGATGCTGTAGGCTTCATACATTTATGTTTACCTAAGAGCTTACGAAAGTAATAGTGACACAGGATAGGAATTCTCATTTTCACCTTCAACATACATAACCTGGAGCAGCTGTTCATCACACCACTGCTTCCTTTGTAATCTGCAATTCCCCCTTGGTGCCACAAGCGCACACTGCCTCCTCCTGCCCCAATCTTTGTGCCATTGCCTCTATTTCTGAACAGCAGGCTTTTTACTGCACCATTTTGTGACCAAGTAGATGTTATAAACCACAAGGAAAAAGAAAGATAAACGGACAGTTGCTGAGACTAGGATATCTAAGGCTGTTACCATGCAATTAAGCACCAAGCAGACCCTACTCTCTATTTATTGCACAGCCATTTGCTCCGTCCACGCTCACATCTGAATTCCCAGGGTCTTTATTAAAGCATCAAGGGGAATGCTATTTCCAGACCACCACAAAGCAGCAGCTGCTTTATCCTTCCACATAAGTAGCCCAGTGCTTTGATACATTATGGTATACTAAGAGAAGAGCTGAAGGCTGGAGAAGGGACAAAGAGGGAGAAAAAGGTTTTAAACAAATGTTATAGGGGCAGCACATTGCTCT